CCTAAAAAACAGGACAACATTTCTTTTATAAGGAATATTTATTATGCCACCACACATCCGAATTTCAAGAGTTTTAATTTTTAATAGAAGAAGAGGAAGATATATGTATATACAGAACAATCTTAAAAATGCAAAATGATATAAAATTAGCTGATATGCATAAGTCAATGCCAACTATCATTTATATATTTTCCAATACATCCTGCACACATAAAAAACAGTATTAACTAAATTAAATATTTAAAGAAGTTCTAGATAAATCTGATGAAACATCAACATCTAAAGTTAAAAGTTGTGGCTAAACTTAAAAGATTCATCGCTCATAAAACAAATAACAATGACTTTTGAAGTTTTGGAAGCATGAAATATTTCTTTTTTTAAGTAAATTAGCTAGCAAAGTTTTGTCAGCCCCATCAAGTTCGGCTTCTAGTGAAAGGTATTTTCTAGAGCCAATCGCTTATTAGAGAAAAGATAAACACAATTGAAATAAAAAAACATTAACATTCTTCTTTTTCTAAATAAAATTTTTAATTTATAAATTGTAATTATTTTGTGTTAATGATATTAATATGGAATAAGAGAAGTAAAAACTATGATAGAATAAATCAAAAAACTGTAAAATGTATAAATTAAGTTTTGAAAAATTTAAAAACACCGTGAATTCTAGGACATGACTGGCGTGATCAAAATATTGTCTTTTGTGAGCAGGCGCGTCGAGCCAATATTTTTTTTGGTAGTAAGCGTGAAAGGGCGTAAATTTTTCTATTGCCACTGTGAGTGGACGGGCTTTGAATAAAAGATTAGGCCTAAGCCCACCTCTACTTGATACCTCATTGTCTAGAATTCTATGAAAGGAATATGTGAATAAAATATGCCGAAATTTTAAATATCTACAGATGTGAGCGCCATCATAAACGTTGATATAATATGGATGCAATTCAAAAAAAACTAGACATCCAATCAAGATAAGAATAAATCTTAGGAAAAATTATCTTAGAACTTTGCGTAATTCTAATTCAATAATACATAATTCTTTTCTATGATAGGATCACACGTTTTTATGAGTATAACGCTATATATAATTTAAATAATATCACTTTTTGTAATTTATATTAACCCCGCTTTCCCTTATATATTTTAATCATATTTTATTTCAAAAATACACCATATTCCTATTTATTAAAGTTTTAAGAGCCAGAGATTTTTAAGAAATAATTAAATTCTCAATCTGGCCTATGAGAGCTTGCAATTATTTGGCAAAATGACTCATTACAGATCTCGAATACAAATGAATTATAATAGTTACTTACAATTTTATTAAGCGCCCCCCTGAGAACAAAAATTATTAATTAACGAAGATGCGACGTTAATAAATTGTACATACTTCAAATTTAATATAATTCTTATTTAACACAAAACTGTCACTGACGATATTATGATTTATTAGTTGGCGTATATAATCGATATAGTTATTCAAATTTGAGCGTATTCTATTTAGGATGAAACTACTCTCTAAAAGAAATATATTGAAATTTTGTATAGCAAATATGAATATGACAAATTCACACATGGTCGGTCATACAAATTCGCAAATAGTGAGCTGATACCAATATGAAATAAACAGAAATGTTCAATTGAAGGCCTTTGTGTATATCTATATTATATTTTTATAAAAATAATTTTGGGTTTTCACCAGTTTGTTAAACTGCTAGTTTTGAGCAGATTTTTAAAAACGACTAACTCAATATATTAGCCAAAAAAATATTGTCTAAGCCATGAGATTTTGATAATTTATGTCTTGACCTTTCTATGAACTAAATCTTCAGGCTGCGTAATATTATTTTTGGGTGAAATATTGAGTTTACCGTTTTAAATCGGCTCAAAATAAACCGTTTAACAACACTAGCACTTCTTTTTTTTTTTATAAAAATTCATTTTTTTCTAAATATTTTGTATTATAGTGGTAAAAAAAATAATTATATGATTATTGTTTATAGATAGAACAGACAAATTTCCGAAGGGATTCTAAAAAATCTTAAATTTTTTAAAAGGCTCTTCAAATTTTTCAGAGGGTTCGAGCCCCCCACTCTTTTTAGTGAAACAACTGATCTTAGATGAAATATCAGAAGTAGTAAATAATAAGGCAATTATAATGGCAGTTTGATTGTAAATATATGATATCTTCAGTACTAATTTAATATTAATTTTATTAAATTAAGAGAATTGATCTGTTTATTTAATCCTTCTTTGAGAATTTCATACCAGATATTCGTTTCTCCGAAAAATATTATAAAAAATAATCAGAAGGAATTTTGTTACCATTTTACAATCCCCTTGAACATCTTTAACATCAAGGCTTGATGAGTTAGTGTTGTTAAACGACTCGATTTATAAAAAGGCCAATTCATTATTTTAGCCAAAAAAAAATGTTATACAAGTCTCGATATTTCGTTAATAGATATCCAAACCTTTTTACCATCTGCGAGCAAAATCTCCAGGCTTGCGTAATATTTTTGGTTAGAATATTGGGTTACCGGTTTTTAAAAGTCGAGCCGTTTAACAACACTAGCTTGAGTAAAATGATTAAACTTAAATCGTTCTTAAAATAAAATGCAAGGTTAAAATGTATTAAGAAAAGTCCCTAGAAATTAAATTTGAGCAGCACTCCTTAAAATATCTTTTATTTTAAACAAAACATTATTAGGGCGCGACCAAATGAAATAATGATTCTCAGTTAGCACTGCCAGAATGTGTTATTCAGAATTTTTATCTCACTATTTCTTCTAAAAAGCAGAGATCAGAGATCTACGAGCTCGTACAAAAGCCCGATGGTAACTCTGGCATGGCCCTAAAATAGTGCGATAAAAAAATTCCGAACGGGATTTGAAAAAAATAAAATATATAAACCCGAATTTTTAAAAATATATTACATATATTATGGCATGATGGATCATATAAAGATTCATTAGCTTACTCATATTTTTGATTTGCCTTTTTAAATGCCATTTAGAAGATAACAGCCAAGATCTTTGAATGAACAAATTTTAAAAACCTAGGCCTGGCCCTAAATGATTTGAAAATTGACCCCGGCTAAAAATGGAAAACCTACGCGGAGCCTGAAAATGGACACCTTCTGCAGGATCTTTGTTAAAGGGATTCAAAGAAGAAATGTCTAAGGATTTAGTCAAAATATTAAATTTTTTTTTTAATTTAAAATAATTTATATTATCGATTTTTTTTTAAAAAAAAAATTTAAGAAATCGCCCAGGTTAGAAAGGTAAAGTAGACCAATAATTTATCACCACTATTGGAAAAATTAACTGATCATTAGATTTTTCTTCTCCAAATTTTTTCGATTTAAAACAGAAAATGAATAGAAATAAATTGGATCGAAGTTTATAAAAAAATCTAAATCTAAATGCGACATATAGTCTAGAATTATAACTGTTATCAAGAAAGTGTTGTTAAACGCCTCAATTTGAGCCGATTTTTATAAATGGCTAACTCAATATTTTATCCAGAAAAATATTATGCAAGCCTACTAAAGCCTTTGCTCTTAGATGGCACATAGGATTGAACATCTATTGGCGAAATCGACGCGTAGGCAATATTTCCCTGGCTATAATGTTGAGTTAGCCGTTTTTAAAAATCGGCTCAAATCGAGCCGTTTAACAACACTAATCAAAGGGTAGTAAGGAGATGTAGAAAATAATTATTTTGTCTTATACTAAGACAACGTACATTATTTTTTAACTCGTTATACGAATCGAATATATTTTTATAATCGTTCTAGTAGATTAAATTTTATAAATGTTTCAAAATGATTAAAAATATTATGAGAATGAGAAAAAAATAAATCAAACATTTAAACTACTTAGATGATTTATATTCGGCTAGTTTTTCATCAGTATTAGTTTCCTTGTCTTAAGATAATTAGGGACATTACAAATTTTAAAAAAGTATTGAAAATAAAATTCAGAATTGGAAGAATGAATTAGGGAGTTGTTGCTAACAAAATAACTGTATTTTTGTTTCTTTCCCAAAATCCTAATAAATAGGTTCAATACTTTGTTAATCATTCTATCAATTATTTTTTCTGTATATATTTTATTAATAAAAAATAATAATTTTTTCTGTATATATTTTATTAATAAAAAATAATATGTGAAAATTTAAAGTTGTATTTTTCTTGTTCGTAAAATAAAATAAAAAACTAATTATATAATATAAAATAAAATATTGAAAAATACAATTTTTAAATGAAAAATAATTATTTTATAAAATCGAATAAACAAATATGGCCTTATTTCTAATATTATATATTTAAAAAATAATTTTTTTTTCTTCTCATACTCTGCAATAAAACTTGTTTAATATGAGCACTTATTATTTTTTATTTAAAATTAAATTTCGCTAAATTTAGGAGCCAATGTATTCTGAATGCCGGAACAATTTTCTTATCGTATTTATCGATTGCCTACTTTTTTAGATTTTACTGTCTAATTTGATAGGTATCATTTCTTTCTGCTTGCTCAAATTAGAAAAAAAAATTATTTTATTTTTATTCGTTTTTTAAAATATTTATTTATATAATTATATAATATAAAATAAATATAAAATAATATAAATAAAAATAAAAATAATTTTTGAAATAAAAAATTTAAAAATAAATTTATTTTTTTTATTACAGTTATATTTTTATATAAAAAAAAATTAAATTTCAAATTTTTAAATAATATAATAAATTAATTTTTCCGAAAATAAATTAAAACTTGTATAAAAATTATGTTATAATAATGAAATAAGTTAATTTTGCCAAATATAAGAAAATTATTATTTATCTAATATTATCTTCTGTCATTATAATTTCGGCAGACGAAATATAAACCAAAAATTGTAACAATAAATATAAAAAAAATTTAAAAAAAGAGAAAAACAAAAGATAAATATATTTTAATTTAAAAAAAAATGTAAAATATTAAAAATTTATAAAAATTTATTTTTAAAAAAAAAATACTGGTAAAAATATAATTAATTTTTATAATATTACAAAACATCCTAAAGGCATAACGAAAAGTATAATAAGGTTTTATTTTATTTAATATATTTTTTATTATTTTTCAAAAAACTTTAAAAAAATGATATTTTTTTTAAATCTAAATTTTTAAAAAAATTAAATATATATCTCTAAAAAAATAAATTATCTAAGAAGGATTCTTCAATAATAATTTATCATGTTTCCTTTGCCTCCTCCTTACAAGGTAAAAATTATTTTCATAAATTCTTGATTTATATTATTTATTTTATTTTTTTTAAATCTTAAAACATTTTTATCATTTTTTATTTTATATTATTATTGTATTTTAAAACTATCATAATTAAAATTATCATTATTATTTTTAGTTTCCATTTGAATTGAAAATAAATACTCTCTTTTTAATAATAAAATTATAGCATTGTTTGTTTAGTTTTAATTATTTTTATAATTTAATTATTAAATAAATAAAATAAATCTTTCGAGAATTTAGAAATTGAATTGAAATCATCTTTCCAGAGCATTTCAATAATTTTTGAATATCCCGCAATTGGCAATCCAATTTTGTATTTATTTATTTTGAATATTTATAACAAATCATCGGTTTAATTCATTATCACAAATTGATAATGAGTGATCAAATTAAGTTTATCTTTAGATTTTTAATAAATAACCAATAATTAAACTCAAAATGGTGACGGGGGGTGGTTATATGAGATAGTGATCTGCATCGGTCCTAATTTTTTAATTTATTTCGAAAAGCCCGAGAAATAAATATTTCTTTACCTGGCCTGGCTCAAATTTATTTAAATATAAAAATTAATAAATTTTTCTATATATTTTTATTTACATTTTTACACTGAACGTATCATAATCGAGTTTTTGATCATTCTATAAGCAAATAAAAAAAATATTGGCGCCTTTGATTATTGCAAAAACAAACTAAAAGTTGTCTAAAAGAAAAACTAAAATTTTGTTACCAAAAAATAAGCTAAGGTATATATAAAAAAATTTTTATTTAGGCCTTGTGCCCAAAATTTATTTCAAAAAAGTTTTTATTTTTGTTTTTTTAAGAAAAACGAAAACCTATATTTCGATAAAGTTTTCAATTTAAAATTTTTGATGTTTTGGATGCTCAAGAGGTAAGAAAAAAGAAGAGGAAAAAAATTGCCTATTTTACAACAAATCAAATGTATATAATTTTGGAGAAAAAATTCTACAGAGTAAATAAGTAAATATAAAAATTCGTAAATTTGTAAACGTTATATTTATTTAGAAAATATAAATATATATAATTTTTTTATGAGAACTATACATTTAATAATAATTTTATTTAATTTACATACAACCTAATTAAAAATATTATAATTTATAATTATATAATTAAAAATAAAATTCTATAATTGAGTCCCCAAAAAGGAACCATAATTGTGTCTAAAAATTTCTATTTGAATTTTTTGTCGAATAAAAAGGAATCTCTTGGTTCATTTGTGAAAAGTCGTATTTTATATCCAAGATTTTTAAAAAAAAAAAATGTTGAAGGCGAAAAATGTCCGTTAGTAGAAGTCACTACTGGAGTGAATAAGAAGTTTTTAAAATTTTTGTATTTGTTTATTTTTTTAATTTCAGCCTGTGTTATTAAATTGAAATTTATGTTTGAAGGGAATGATGAGACACACTTGTAATATATGAGTGATTTGCCGAGGGCCTAAGGTATGGTTGTCATACCATCAGGTCTTAAACCATCTACAGATAAATTTGATGGTTCAAGATTGTTTGGAATGTGTGCAGTAAGCTTCTATTTATTATATGGTTTACAGCTGAGTGGCGTTGATGTCGCCCCTAAAAATGCAATTTGAGTCATGTCTACCCTTTGAATCAACGGGTGATTTGCATTTGATGCAGGCATGATGCTGTACTATATCGCAACCTAGACGTAAACCAATAGTTACTCTCAGTTTTTCATCTGATATGAGATTACCAAGGTTGCAACTAGAAAGTGATTCTAACCATTCATGACCTCCAAGTCTGTCAGATAATTGGAGTAGTTGAATGCAATCTAAAGGTGGATTGACTGATATATCTGTCTGGTATTTAGAGATTAAAGGTGTGAAAATTTTTTTGTGTGTGATGATTGATGGTAATACGGTGTTAATGGGTGTGTTTGCCTTCCATTTATCAATAGCGTCGTCTAATAAACGATCGGTAGGGCATATGAAGCCAGAAATCATAGAATTGTTAGATAATCTAGATGATACGAATGATGATATGGATAAAAGATTGAGCGGAAAAAAATCTAAACCGCCTAGTTTAGAAGGTAGCTGAACAAGTGACCAATTGAATGAGTTTAAATTTATGTAATTTTTTCCAGAAATATTTTAAATTTATCCTGAATTTTAGATATGAATTCATTGTTTTTGAAAAAAGATGGATGATCGGAAAATGTGCATAAATTTAGGTATGTAAAGGCATTTGCGAATTAAAAATAAAGATTGATGAGCTGGTAGGAGACTAAGAATGTGCTCCATACTGTAAAAGCTTTTAAAAATCTTGTGGAGAAAATCTTCCGACTTGGTCGCATTAGCTAATGGGGACCCAAGTATGGTTAAGCTATCAGGAGCAATGATTTTGTAGCCTTCCAATTTGTGGTTTATTGTTTAAGAAACATAATTCTGTTTTATTTATGTTGAGTACCAGGCCGATAGCTTGGGAATTGATTTCCAGATGTTTTAAGGCGCTTATTACATTAGCTGAAGGGCCACAGATGGTCCCATCTTCTAAATACCATCGATTAAGATCTAGGTTGAAATTTTGTTTAATTTGGTAGATGAGATAATGGATTCCAAAACAAAAAAGAAGAGGTCCTATATGTCACCTTGATCTATTTTATTTGATATTATTTTGCATTTGTGTGTTATATCATCTACTTGCTTTTTTAACATTATGATTGTAGTTAATCATTTGAATAGTGTTAAAATTATCAATGTTTGATTTTATTTGTTCATGTAATGGGGTCTCTTTGTTGTATAAGACATTTGTGAGAGAAGGTTAATAAGTCTTCCCATGATTTTAAACAATTTAAGTTATCATTAACTTTTGTGATAAGTTTAATAACAAAATTTGAAATTATGTTTTTAGAATTATTTGGTAGATGTGTTAAAGTGGATCCTTTTTTCCATTCAAAAAATTTTTCAAGAAAATCTGTGTTAATAGGGGGAGGATGAGGCTCAATAATATTTAATAAGGGTTTGGGTATTGTTATAATTTCATTGGTTGGAGATTTTTGAGAGGAAGGACATGTTGACCCTTTGTATCTATGTTTGTATAAAAGATTGTCCTTTGTCACTTTAATTAGTTTAGCACAGATGTTACAAATTGTTGACATTGTTTTATTTTATTTTTTAACATAAGAATATTTGTATTATAAAAATTAAAATTTCTTAGCAAAACTATGTATATAGGATTATGAATATTTAAATTGATGTTACAAAATTGCTTGTTACAAGTTTGAGGGTATGGTTTGTAATTTTGATCCTGCACATTTAGGCAATGATGGGCCAAAGAGACAGTAATGATTTTCACGTTTGTCGGCAAGTAATTGGATTAATTTTATGAATGATAAAAATAATTAAAAGTAAATTAAAAAATTAATATTTTCGTTTCATGGATAGAAGAACAATTTTTGTAATTACAGTGAAAATATTTAGTATTAAAAAATTAATATTATTTACAAGTGTTGTAATAGTTACTTTGAAAAGTAAATTTTTTTAAAAAAAGTAACGAGTTAGAGTTATATTTCAAGGGTAATTAGTTACATTTATAAATTATTTATGCAACTCATCGTTTTATAAGATAAATCGAATAATTCGATTCGCTAACTTTCGAAACTATTAAACTATTGAAAAACAAGAAATAAGCTTTTTTAATATTAAAAATATAAAATTATGTCTAAGATATGTTTCTATAGAATTTCAAAAATTTAACGTACGATTTAATAAAATTTCTGAAAATTTTGAAACTTTTCGAATTTTTTAAAAAAAGATTTTGGACATAGCCAAATAATTTTTAAAAAATCTTATAAGTTAACATTAAAAATGTGCAAGTTAAAATACAAAGAGTAAATTTAAAAAAAAATGCCTTTTTTTCATATAGAAGGTCATAAATTTTAAATGGATGGACAGATTTCACCCCCCCCTCTCCCCCCCACGTACCTGCTGAGATTCGATGAATCTCAAAATTATTCGAATTGCTTTTTGAATATTCGTTTTTAAAAAAGGTTTATACTTGTAACTAAGTTATAACTTTAACAAACAAACATTAAATTTTCCGATTTAAATTTTGAAATTCATGGCATCTATGATTGCCTAATTGAGTAGCTTATTTGTGCATTTTAGAGATTGTTTATAAACTAAATTGTTTATTGACACAACAGGAATATTTAAGTATTCGATTCGATATATCTTCTTTCGACAATCATTATCTTTATTGTTAAACGGCCCATTTGGGTTTATTTTTAAAAACCGTCCACTAAGATTTTAGTTAAAATAATATTAAGCAAATCTCTAGATTTGGCAATTAGAGATCCAAACCTTTCTGCCATCTATGAGCAAAATCACTAGGCTTACATAATATTTATTGTTTTGTCTATAATTTCTTAAATCAAGGTTTCAAAATCTACCCAAATTCAGTTGTTTGATTATATTAGTTCTTCACACGGTCTGTTCCCTTCGAATTTTTTGATCTACTTCGATTCATTTTAATCGTAAAATATATAAATACTCTCTATTCAATATTACTGAAATATGTTTTTACACGTCATATCAATCTCTTCCATAATACTTTAAAAAGCGGAACTTTAATGGTTTTCACACTTTTAAAATTATAAATTGAAAACGTAAATTTGTTTTATAATTAATTCATTTTACCAGTATTAAAAATCACAATTTTTTTTATTTTATTTAGGTAAAAAAAATATTTTACTCGCGAGAGTCCGTTTTTCCAATAATCGAGCAATTTTTACCAGATTATAAACCAACTATGAATTTCCATGTCATATTTTAAAAAAAAAATACTAGAAAACGATTTAGTATAGAATTTTAGCAGAATATTTGATTCCAAAATTGAATTCTTAAATCAAAAGTGGTGAAAAAAAAGAAGTTCGATTATGGTTTAACTCAAGGAAATTGCCTTTACAACAGCTTTTTATTTAGATTTATAATCGTCTTA